GGGCAAAAGTAGGTTAACAGTTGTGCGTATGGAAAATAATAATACAAGAGTAAACTCTGTGTTTCACTTACAACTGTAAAGCTACTTTTGCCCCACCCTGTATATAAAACAAAAAATAAGACTCAGAATGGTGGAGAGAAGACGACAGAATAGCTAGGGACCTCAGGATCCAAGAAACGACACAGTGGTGAGTTCTCTGAGTTATCTCTTACCTCATATATCCCATAATGGGTACTAGAGAAACTGGCAACCCAGAAATGCCAAAGAGTGCAGACCAAAAAAAAAAAAGACTTAGCTGGCCAAAGAACAAGGAAAGGGGCAGCCTTCCAAGACAGAATAGTTTTAGAGAATTGCATTACTCCAGCTATATTCTCGGGGGGAAAACTGAGGCCTGTCTCTACCCCTGGCAGCAAAGGCTGAGTGGGGAGCCTACACTCCATGCTCACCTGGCGGTAATGAAGTCATTCCTCCCCACCTCCTGGGTGGTGTCGAAGAAGGCCAAGTGAGGAACTAGGACTTCCACGGTCACACGGGTAAGGAGGCCTCCTGCCACGGTGTCAGTGGAGGCCATGTGGGGAGCAGTAACAAGGCACCCACCCTCCTGGGGTATCAAGAGGCCAAGGGAAAGCCTGAACTTCCACTCCCCCCTGCTAGTAACAAGGAAGTTCCCCACCTCCCCTACAAACACACAGTCAGAGAAGTTCTGCTTAAATGGAGATTTAAATAAGGTCCAGAGTCTTATTATACCTCAAATATCCAGGATACAATTTTCAAAATCATTATACTAAGAACCCCCCAAATTTCAACTTGAATGGAAAAAGACAATCAACAGATGCCAACATCAAGATGACACAGATGTTGGAATCATCTGACAAGGCTATAATAAAACTAAGCAATTAGAAATAAACTTAGAAAAAAATAATAGTGTCTCAGCAAAGAAACAGAAGATACAAGGAACCACATGGAAATTTTAGATCTGAAAAATACAATAATTAAAAAAACTCAGTGAATGGGCTCAACAGCAGAATAGAGGGGACAGAGGAAAGACATGCCTGTCAGTGAACATGAAGACAACGAAAAAAAGAAAATGATAAAAGAAGAAATACTGGAACATCAGGAAGAAAGAAAAACGGGAAGAGTAAAATAGGGATAAACACCTTGGCAGGGGGGCTTTCCTTCTCTTCGGATTCTATCAATTATGTCTGACAGTTGAAACAAAATATATAACATCTGAAGTAGTTCTCAATGCACGTAGAGAAAAATATTAAAGACAAGTATAGATGGGAGTGGGTAAAGGGACAAGCGAGATCCGAATACATTTACAGGATGTAAGGTTTCTACATTTCGCTGGAACTGGTAAAATGTGGGCCCGAGTAGGCTGTGATCATTTATGCATCTATAAAGGATGGGTTTGGACAGCCGATTTTAACAGGTCGAGGTGTCAGGATGAGGCACATGGAAGCAATCAGCACACACTTTCTAGATCTGGGGGCTGGAAAGGAAGGGGGGCTGGGGCTGTGCCTACCGCAGACGGAGGCGAAGGCGGCCAGGGCAGAAGAGCAAGCGTGTCAGAGACCCCGGGATAAGCGAGGCCTTGCGAGAAGGTGAGGCCGACAGGGAGTTGTGTCTGAGGGTCCTGCTGAGAGAGGGGTTAAGCCGAGATGAAGGCGATGATGCGATGATGAAACGAGCGCAGAGAACGGATGTGAGCCCCAGACAGACAGGGAGAGTCAGGCGCCAAGCCTGAGATGGTCAGTCTCCCTACTCCAAAGGTGTAAAACGATCCGTTGACCACCAGATGGCGGTGTCTGTGGAAGCTCACGTATCCCATCGGCCCTGGCGCCAGGGCGGAAGAAGGCGCGGAGGTGACTCTCTGGCTCGCAGCCCCTCTACTCTCCTGTCCCCACTGACGTTGGACAACAAAGATGGCGGCAGGAACCAGCAATTACTGGGAAGGTAAGGGCGAGGCCTCCGGGTGGGTCTCGCCTAGGGGCAGGGGGGCTGAGTGAGGACGGGCCTGCGGCGAGGCAGCAGATTAAAGAGGTCGGCCTCCGGAGCGGCCGAGCTGAGGCGCAGGGCCGGCTAGTGGGAGCCCCGAGGCCTGGGGGGTTGAGGGGAGCGAACAGTCTGGGGCAAGGGGCTGACCCGGGAGGCAGCGGGACCTGCGGCCGAAAGAGGCCTGAGCGGGGATGGAGAGGAAGACGGGCCCGAGGAGCCGGAGCTAGGTTGAGAGGGTAGCGGAGCTCGGACGGGGGGGTTTGGGGTATGAACTCTGAGGTCGGAGAGGAGACGAGTGTTGGGCGAGACTGTGCCGGGTCCGGGAGCCCGGAGGAGTCGGCGCCTCAGACGACTGAGTGGGAAAAGAGAAAGTAGGAACTCGTCGGTCCGGTCCATCGAGGGGAAGTTGGATGAGCGGCATGGCTCCTCCTGGGTCCGCTCGGCTGCTTCAGGCTGGGACTTCGAGGGTCGGGTGTCGACTCGCGGTCGGGGGCCGAGGAAATCATTGTACCCTCTGCTCCGGAGATCCGTGTTGTTCCGCAGAGGACGCTGAGAGAACAAGTGTGCATTGTAATTATTGCATTTGCTATACCTTCCTCCTTCCACCAGAAAAAAGAAAAAAAAAATCATCTTGTGATTTGACTAGTTACGTTTATGTAATTCCTGAAAATGTGGTGGGGTAAAGTGGGCTCGTGTAAAAGCCATTTCCTGGACCGCGATGGTAACAAAGATTCTTTCAAGTGTGTCTGTCTGCTTTACTGCAACACAGAAACTGCTCTCCGAATTCTTTTTTTCCCTTTTAACCCAGTTCTTGTTGCTACCCCCCTGAAGCCTCTGGAAACCACCACACAAATAGCAGTATAGCCAAGATAACTTAGTGCTAAGATACTTAATGCTAAGTTCGCCCATACTTGCCTGTTGTGCTTCCAGAATGCTTTTTACTTGACGTTTTCTACTGGCGAAGACAGTTACTAATTACAGAGAAGTGGGCGTTAGTTTAAAACGTATTTAAAAGAGCCATTTGAAACGTGCATACTAGCTAGAAAATATTTTTAAATTATGTAGATAGAAGTGGCTGTTGGTATCTTTAACACTTCATTAGGCTGTAGTTTTTTGAAGCATCAGGCTGTAATAATTATAGCAGCTTATTATTGACAACCTACTCTGTGCCAGGTTCTTCAAATACATGATTTCTAAGGCACAGAAAACCCCTGAAGATAGAAGTGGGAAAAGACAAAAAGCTGAGGTTTATAGGTTAAGTAGATTGTCAATAATTCTCAGAGCCCAGTTCTCAGAATCTCAGAACTTTAGGTTTGGTGTCTGGGAAAATATGCTCCACTGTATTACGCTGCTTCCTGCATCTGGTTGCTGATAAGCATATTGAAATAATGTTTTTTATTCCTTGTTACTGAAGGATGAGATCCTTAACACGATTCTTCCTATGTTTCAGCCCCTTCATTTTGACTTACACTTCACCATGAATGAGTTTACTTACTTCTAGATGGGGGGTCTTGAACTGCACCTTCTCTCACTCAACCGCTTAGATGCCAAACTCCGATACCAATTTCTCTACTTGCGTGTTTGCTTTGGTTCTTTTAAAACTTACGCTGTTATTTTGCTAAACCTACATTTGTCCTTGTTGGTAGCACATTATCGTCTTTCATTTCAGCGTCTCCAAATTTGAGTAAGCTTATTGAAAGACAATTTTTTTGTCTTTGTCAGTGATTATTTTTTCTTTCTGCTTAATCACTAAGTCATTCTACTGTTAAGAATTTCATAATCCTAATAAAGTTTTGGCACATAAAGAGATAGAAAAATCCCTGTCAAAAACAGTGATGGTTTCTTTTTTATAAAGTTAGATGGTAAATTGATATAATGCTGGTCATAAACCATAGTCAGTTTCTTTGTGATTTGTACTTTCTTGTGTTTTCCCCTGAATTACAAAATTTATTGCTATAGAAATAATTTTAGGAATGTTAGAACAACATTTGTTGTCTAGTTGTCTTTGGGATAAAGTCAAAAATTTGTGTTCCCTCCCCTTTTTGCCCCACCTGAAGTTTAAAATAACTGACAGTTTGCTTTGCTGGGTACATCTTTTTTTTTTTTTCCTTTTAAAACTTTTCTTTATTGAACCTAGATCAATATGTGATCATTTTCATATTTTGTTTTCTTCAGAATAGTTTTGTGAGTTTTATGTCTACTGATGGACTTTTTGTGTCTAAATTATTTGCTTTTATAATTTTGTTAAAGATCTCCGGAAACAGGCTCGACAGCTGGAAAATGAACTTGACCTGAAACTAGTTTCTTTCAGTAAACTGTGTACGAGTTACAGTCACAGCAGTGCCCGAGATGGAAGACGCGACAGGTATAGGTACTACCAAATTCTCTTTTATGCCTTAAACTATATACTGTTTTTAAAGCATTAAAAAATAAACTAAAATATATAACTGTAATTTGTTATATTGGTGAATTTTGGGTATTTTATTTTATGTTATTGTTTTATTTTTAGTGATCTATAAAAATTCTTAATCCTTGAGACTAGCATTTATTTGGCATTCTTAGGCAAAGGTTGTCACAGTGTCAGGAGGAAAAGGCTAAGGCTTAAGAATGAGCTTGTGTCAGAAATAAGTTTCTAGGTCAGTCATTTCATTTTAAGAAAATGTGGTTGAATTGTCCACATTGTTTTTCATTCTTTTTTTTTTTTTTTAATATATAATAATGTTTTTATTAATTTTTTGAGAGAGGAAGGGAGGAAGAGAGAGAAACATCAATGAGAAACACTGATCGGCCGCCTCCTGCACGCCCCCTACTGGGGATCAAGCAACCTGGGCACCTGCCCTGACCAGGAATCGAACCATTGACCTCTTGGTTCATGGGTCGGTTCTCAACCACTGAGCCACACCGGCTGGGCCACATTATATTTCTTATATCTTCTGATTGCTATATGGATGTGAGGAACTACACATATGCCAAGTATATATCCTGCTATTCTAGTGTTTTGAATTAATCTAATGCAGTGTGTATCCTCGCTATTAATCATCTAAGCTATTTTTAATTTTGGTTCTTTTATGAGAAACCAATATACTACTATATTGAACATATAGAAAATGTTTTTTAATTGAGGTAACATTGATTGATAACATTATATAAGCTTCAGATGTACAATATTATAATTAGATATCTGTGTGCACTATAATGTGTTCACTACCAAAAGTCTAGTTTCCGTCCATCACCATACATTTAACCCCCTTTACCCATGTTTGCCCTCCTCCTACTCTCCTTTCTCTCTGTTAACTGCCCATCTGTTGTCTGTATCTATGAGTGTTTGTTTGTTTGTTTTGTTTGTTGGTTTCTTTTTTGTTTTTTACTTTACATATGAGTGAAATCATATGGTTTTTGTCCTTTTCAGCCTGACTTAATTCACTTAGCATAATACCCTCAAGGTCCATCCATGTTGCCACAAATGGCAGTAGCCCATCTTTTTCATGGCTGAATAGTATTCCATCGAGTACATACACCACATTTTCTTTATTCATTCATCAGTGGACACTTAGATCATTTCCTCTATTGTAAATAATGCTGCAGTGAACATGGGGATGCATATATCTTTTCAAATTGGTGTTTTCATGTTCTTCAGATAAATACCCAGAAGAGGAATTGCTGGGTCATATGGTAGTTTTGTTGGAAAGTATATTCTTATCTTTGAATCTTATGCTCACTTTAGGCCCTTTCACTTGTTTTAAAAAGTATTAGGAAATATTTAAGACACATAGAAAGATATAAAGCAATAAAAATACCTCAGTTGAGGATTAAAAATAAAGAGCTAGATACTTTGATATATTTTAAGGGAAATAAACTGAAATGTTTCAAGAAGAAATAAAAATTTGGACCTAGTTAAATATTTTGACATAAAATTGTTATTAGCTACTTTTTGGCTGTTTCATTGCTTGTTATTATTGCTATAAAAGGTATATGATATGGAGAACGAAAGTGGTAGTAACTAAAGTACTTTTTATGTTGAACTGATAACTTATATTTTCATTTGCCATACATACACAATCACTGTCACAGGGCAGGACAAAGTCTTCAGTAAGATTGGAAAGTATAGCCATTGCTTGGGTATTTATCTGTGTTCATTATAATTAAGATCTGTATTGAGCTGCTTATGTGATAATACATACCACTTGGAGATCTAATGAAGTTTGGTGGTCTTTTAGGACATGGTTTTCCGTGCTGGACATACTCTGTCAAACATAAGTTTCACTTGTAAAAAGATTTTTTTTACTGACCATTCAGGTTTTAAAAGATAGTTCAGGCCCTGGCCGGGTAGCTCAGTTGGTTAGAGTGTCATCCTGATACCAGGGTTGGGTAACCTTTTTTCTACCAAGGGCCATTTGGATATTTATAACATCATTTGTAGGCCATACAAAATTATCAACTTAAAAATCAACTATGAAAAAAGCTCCTAGATTTGTTGGATTTCGAGTTCCGCCTGTGGTTGCCTTGGCAGGGCAAGACCTATTCGGCCCATGGGCCGGACGTCCCCCACCCCTGCTATACATCAAGATTGCAAGTTTGATCCCTGGTCAGGGCACATATAAGAATCAACCAATGAATGCATAAATAAGTGAAACAACAAATTGATGTTTCTCTCTCTGTTCCCCCCCTTTCTCTAAAATCAGTCAAATAAAAAATTTTTAAAAAGGTAGTTCAACACATTTTTGCAAAACAAAACTGAAACAATTGTGTAATATAAGTGGAAATGTGGAGGGTTGGTACTAAAATTTCCGTGCTGGACATACATAGCTATCTATATTAGACTTAAAGCCCGTTCCTAATTATTTAATAACTAATTATCCAATCTGTGGATCATTTAAATCTCTTTTATTTCTTCTTGGTAAGAGTCAAGGAAAGAAGCAAGAACTTAACATAAGGTCTAAATAACCATAGTTGCTTTGGGGTATAAATTTTAAAGATTATTTCTGACAGATCCCAAAGCATAATTTATAATACATTTTGTGGCTCCCATCATATGACATACTACATAGTTCTACAGTTTTTTTTCAGATAATTTTTTCTTTTACAGTCAGCATTTAATTGAGCACTGCCATAGCTTAGTTTAAGTTACTTCCATTTGGGAAACAGTAAAAAGCTTTGGGAATTTCTTTACGTTACTAAGATTGAATGTATTCAAGCTTGGGAAAATCTTACATTCAGTTATATTTTATATAATGAATTTAATATTTAGGATATGTGTGATCTGTATAGGAAAACTTCTACAAAAACCGTTATCTTCTGCCCTGATCAGTGTGGCTCAGTTGGATGTCATCCCGTGTACCTGCGGGTTGCCGGTTCGATTCCTGGTCTTGGTACATGCTCAGGTTGCCAGCTCAGTACCTGGTGGTGGGGCATGCAGGAGGCAGCTGATCAGTGTTCCACTCTCACATTGATGTTTTTCTCTCTCTTCTCCTTTCCCTCTAAAAATCAATGGGAAAAAAAAATCTTAAGAAACAGAAAGAGTGTCTTAGGGATTCTACTTGACCTTTTTAAGGATAATTACACTATTTTAAGTATCTTTTAAAGGATTAGGTTTAAGTGACGGATTCTCTTTATTTGAACTTCTCTTTAGCTCTGACACAACACCCCTTTTAAATGGATCAAGCCAAGACAGAATGTTTGAAACAATGGCAATTGAGATTGAACAACTTTTGGCAAGGGTAAGCACTCTCTGTTAATTGGCTATTTTGCTAGTAACTGTGTACTTGTTAGATGTGATACTAGATTATATTAATGTAGACATGTTTATTGAAGTCACTCTTTGAAGATGTGTGCTTCCCAGACCACTTGAATTTTGATGACAGCCATTTCTAGGTCCCATGAGAGTTATTTTAGCTTTTATATATTACTTGGTGGAAGTGCTTTCTAAAATATTTTTAATATATATTTTTTCCTTTCTCTTTTTTTGTTTTTTAGCTTACAGGAATAAATGATAAAATGGCAGAATATACCAACAGCGCGGGCGTCCCCTCCTTGAATGCGGCACTGATGCATACATTACAGCGACATAGAGACATATTACAGGTGATGTATTGAGCTTGAGATTTTTATGTTATAGGGTTTTCTAAATCCCTAAATAGAATACATCACATGTATTTAAGAGAACAAAAGGGAAAATCTTCTGAGAGGATAAATGCCATGCTATAGAAGTTTGTCTTGTTTTACTTTTTTTTCTTGGTATTATAAAATTCTGAAACTGTCTAATACCTAAGAGCTCTTACTTTTGCCTGGTAAAACTGAATAATAATCATTGGTATGTAAATATTTCATGGGACATCTCACTAACTCTCACAGTGCAATAGCCAGTGGTCATGCAAAGGCAATAATGAGGTGGTTTAGAGTATACTTGCATTAGCCTTCAAAGATAACATGGGTGAGGAGAATTTACCATATTTAGTATATTGTTTGAGAAAGTATTAAAAGTGTATCAATAAAATGAAATAAACTCATAAAGATTTATATATGAAGTGTTAATATATAGTATACAAATAGGAAGGCAAATCTTTTTAATATTGAAAAAATTCAGCAACCATTTCTAATTTTAAAAACTCTTGTTAAAAATAGGAATAGAAGGATACTTTAGTTGCCTAATGCAAAACTGTGTATATCAGATTAAAAGCTAGCATCATGCTTAATAATAGAGCGCTAAAAGTATTCCCATTAAAGAAAAATAAAAACAAGAATACCCACTATCACCACGATGTTTAACATTGTTTTGAAAGTTCTTTGTGGTGCAATTAGACAGTAAAAAGAAATAAGATAAAGGAAGAGACAAAATTTGTATTATGTGGCAGTGATAAGATTATATAGCTAATACAACCAAGAAAACGAAAAAATACATTAGAAACAAATTCAATGAGACGGTAGATCACATAAATTAATATATAAAAGCAAGTAGTTTTTCTCATATAAACAATAACCTGTTAGAAAATACAATGGAAGAAACTAAAATCCTATGTATAAATTTAATAAGAATGTATAGGGCCCAGCCGGCATGGCTCAGCGGTTGAACATCAACCTATGATCCAGGAGATCACGGTTCGATTGCCGGTCAGGGTACATGCCCGGGGTTTGGGCTCAATCCCCAGCAGAGGGCGTGCAGGAAGCAGCCAATCATGACTCTATCTCATCATTGATGTTACTGTCTCTCTCTCTCCCTCTCCCTTCCTCTCTCTGAAATCAATAAAAACATTAAAAAAAAAAAAGGTATACAGCAGAATATAGTATGATTTCTTTAGCATAAATGAAATAATAGATAAGCTTATTTGTGCAAATACATATTTCCTGAAAGAAAATTAAAGTGATGATAATGTTAGAAACTGTGGAACAGGATGGTTTTTACTTTTATTTTTTTGGTGCTCTTTTAATATTCTCCCCATGTTCATGTATTATTTTTGGTTTTTAAAGGATCAATAGGGACTTTCTGGGAGATGGGATTGATTTTCATCTCTTTATACTTCTCTGATTTTAAAAAAATAATTAATAATCCTTAATAACTTTAAAGTATGGTAGTAGAAAAAGAAAGTATTTAAAGCTTATTTTGTTCTTTACGTTTCTCTTGCTTCTGTTCTTCCTTTGATTGGTTTAAAAATTAAATTTCTGTGGGAGTTCCAAAAGGGTGAGCTTTTAAAATAAGCCTGTTGGGTGCACTAGTGAGTAGAAAAAGCCCCTTAAGTTTTATCCTAGGCTGTTTGAAGTTATTTTATCTTAGAATTGTTTTTTACCTCACAACTCTGGTACATAAGACAAGGTAATAGAAGATACGAAGGATAGTGATTTAGCAGCACTGTTACCTTACTACCATTCAGGAAAGTGATTATAATGTTATTTTTACCTCTTGGTAGTTTGATTTCTTAAATAGCAGTTTTCTTGACAGAAGTTTATAATATAACAATACATAACTGGTTCAGTAAGATGAAAATATATAATTAGCTTACATTGAGACTGGATATTGATTTATTGCAGGATTATACACATGAATTCCATAAAACCAAAGCAAACTTTATGGCGATACGGGAAAGGGAAAATCTAATGGGATCAGTACGAAAGGATATTGAGTAAGTTACCTTTTATATTGTTTTGTAGGATATTTGTTCAGATTTAGATTTAGAGTATACCCATGATGATTTGCAAATTGAGTAACAGAATCATGGTTTAGATTTCAAGGTTTCTAATGTTCATTTCACTGTTCTTTAAACATTGCTGCTACAATATGGTCCTAGTTTACTTTGCTGGTCTTAACTCCAGCTTCCCCTAGTTTTATCACTGTTCCTGCCAACCTTGGCTTTCCTGTCTTAATTCAAAGTCCAGCTTAGATGATGACATCTTCACGAATTTTTCTCTGATCCCCTACCACCCACCTTAAGAATTATAACATTACCAGTAACTGAAGCTCTCTGTGTTTTCCTCCCTGATTACCACCTATCTTTCTACCTTGCCCCTACAATTATATATTCAGGTAACTATCAAAGTAGCTTTTACTTTCCTGGAATCTGAAATATCTGTTTTTTCCCCCTGATTTTATACAAACTCATAGCCTTATGTAAAATTATTTAAGGACTCCTAGTGTTTTTATGCTGATCTCAATCCATAATTTTAAAGATTGGTTCTTTTCTTACATCCCTTTATCTCACCTTCAATAATATATTCTAGCACTTCATACACATTTTTGACATTTTTTTCCACAACTGAACACAGCCAACAAGGCTGAATCTGTTGAGCATCTAATTAAAGCTGAAGACTTCCCACTTTTGGACCATCTATTGATGCCTCTCATTGTCTCACTTGTAGTAAGTTTATGATACTTATATTTCATAAGCATGGTACTTATGTTTCATAAACTATGATATACATTACCAGTCATAAGCTGATATAAATCATGTGTACTCTGAGAAACATTTTCCTCAAGATTATTTTGTAACAGTAAGACAGTTTTGCAGCAGAAATAATTTAATTCTCATCGCATTCAAAACTTTTGTTCATAACTCTAACCCAGGATTATCCAGCCATCAAAGTTATATTTCTACCTCCAGAAATTATTAGAAAAATAATTTTTACTGATTGTCTCTGTTTTATTTATGTTTTTATTTTTAGTCGTATGTACTTTGTGTAACATATAGGAGTTAGAAAACTAAACATTTTTAACATAATTAAGAATTTTGTAATATTTTAGTTCTTAGGAACATATAACTCTTTTGTTTAATTTCTGTACAGCCTATTTACATATATCTCTTAAGGAATGCCTTGAGGACCAGTGTAGGGAACAGCCTTTAATATATAGGCATTTAGCTCCCTTGCAGTTTGTGGAAATGTCTAGAATACAGCCCACTATAATAACTTGCTTTCTGAAAGATGATGATAAAAGAAACATGTTCATTTTCATTAAACTACTTTCTGATTATCAACCATGAGTAAGACACTATGTCAGTCACTGTAAAGGTAGAAATGAAAAGACCAACTCTGCCCTCTAGGTGTTTATAATCTGGGTATTAGAGGGCAGTAAGGCACTCCCTCAAATTAACATAATACGAGGCAGCATATAATTAGTGAGAGGAGATATAGTAGTAATGAATGACATTTTCAAGTTTTTTGCAATTACATGCCACTTTTTTGGTTTCTTATAATATTTTGGTATTTATAGCAATTATTAGTTCTGTTTTATAAAACTAGATATTAAGAGACTTGTCTAAGGTTGTTAACTGGCTAATAAGTGATGGAATTTGGACTTAAATCTGAGCCATCAGTCTTCAAAGTCCAATGTGTTCTAGTTATAACATTCTGCTTTTCCTGGTGGAAAAGGCTTCAGTTGATGAACTGCATGTACCATTGTGAAGGAAACATTCTATTTCAGTAGCTTTTCCATCCCATGTGTTGTATAATAATCAGTCCAAGTTTTACTTCCACTTGGAGGAAATAAAGATACTGTATAGGAGATAATAGACAAAGAAAGGAAAAGTAAGATTTTTGTTTGTTTAAGAATGTTGAGTTATTTTGGTAAAAAGTAATAAACTCTTAAGTCCTAAATTAGAGTGGTCCATTCATATTTATTTAAAATAGATGTCATTTTTAGAAGAAGATGAAAAGGAATATGCATTTTAATTGTTAATTTGAAACTATGGAGAGGCTCAGTTTGTCCACTTTGGATATTACTAGAGTTAGTCACTTAATCTTTTTTTTTTTTTTTTTTTGCAGTGTCTGCCAAAAAATGTTCTTAAATCTGCCACGAATGTTCTCAAATTTTCTCTATTTTGTTCTAGGTCATATAAAAGTGGATCTGGAGTAAACAACAGAAGAACTGAACTATTTTTGAAAGAACACGAGCACCTTCGAAAGTAGGTATTACTGAATATATGCATACTATGTAGTTTCCCATACTTATTAATTCACTTGCTTATATAAGAAATTTTAGTGGTGTTTATTATAATAAGTGCTTTATCAGTGCTAATTCATTTAATTCTTCTAACTGACCCTGCTCAGTAGAAATGGAATTGCGACTGGTCCCGACCGTAATTAGGAAAGATATGCAGTCAATATCAAAAATCTGCATTCACATCACTTAATTGTTACCTGAAATGTCTTTTATTGCCTGTTTTTTTTTCTTTAGCACGTCTATTGCTCTAATAATTTTGACCACTTCTATAGGTTATTAGTAATAATAATGGTAATAATACTGATGACTTATGTTTGAATGGCCTGATGCCACTTATCTATGTCAGGAAGTGTTATAAAGGGTAATTAGCCATCCATCAAATGCAAAGAAAATATCTTATTTTCAAAGAATTCAAAAGAAAAACCCTAAAAACTTGAATAAACTTTATATCTTAATGCAAGTCACCATACTCTGTCCCTGCTTCATCTGTTTTTTTCTCTGATATGTTATGATTTCTTTATTTATTTTCTCTTTGTTATAGAACTTTTAAGGGTCAGAAAATTACTTACTTTGTGAGCTCAGCCTCTAAGCACTTGAGCCGCTAGTATCCATGATGGTTAAATGTTATGAATTATGTTGATATTTGCTGCTGAATGTCATAAATTAGTCATGTTCACATGAACTTAATGTACTGTTCAATTTTTTTTTTTTTTAAGATTACCTCTTTAAGTATAAACTTGAAATCAGAACATGGAAAGATCAAGACCTTTTTAGAAGTCTGGGTGCTTCTAGTGTCAGAAATAGTTTTTCATGTTCTTAATCTGTTGAATATTATTGATTGGCACAAGGGGGCAGTCTTTCCTAGAGTATGTTTAGTTTATAGTTATTCATAGCTTGGGTTGATAAAGACCACCATAAAGAGATTTTTTTTTTTTTTTTTTTTTTTTTTTTTTTTTTG